TCCGCTTCGCAGTTACACATCTCAGTACACTGAAGATTATTTCTCCTACACGTGCATGTATTATTTGAACATGTACATATTGAACAGGTACATCTGATAAGCTCAGCAATTGTTTCAGAAGCAGCCTGCTTTTCTGACAAGACAGGTCTCAATTTACCATCTTCCATAACCCAGCCCAGTTTGCATGGATCAGGGATTTCTGGATGAATGTAATAATAATTCCTTGATACCTCCTTTACCAAATATAATTATACTGTATTGTTAACATATAACTCAACATCAAATAATAATCATTTACTTTCAGTTAATAAAATCCACAACCTTACCTACAAAACATCAGGCAAACAGCATCGTACCATACGCGACGCTGACCGTACGCAGGAGCAAGGTTGCCTAGGAACCTTCTCAGTACGTAAACAAGGTTGCCAGAACTCTCCCATTTGCCTGATGTTTCGGCAAGGATGATGGGAAGATAGGAAATGCGTATATGGAGAAGGAGGAAACTTTTGTGATCTCAGCTCGCCAAGCTGTTGTAATTGAGGGACGTGGTCGCTGTGGACCAGGGAGAGAACCGTTTGAGGCTATGCTAGAACCAAATAAAGATGGGGGCGTCCCAACTGGAGTTGTTGTGTCTCCATGCCTAGTAAAAGTCGACGGAGGTCGATTTCCAGTTGTCGTACACAATGAAACAGACAACGAAGTAGTAATTTCGAGTACTGCATCTTTAGGAAGTCTTTTCCATGGTGCCACTGTCCATGGAGATTTGGAGGAGGTGGGGTTAGTAACTGAGCCTACAGCTGAAGTGGCAAATATATTGGCAGTCGAAAGTACGCTACCAATACAAGTTGATGTAGATGCATCTCTTCTAACTCCTAAGCAACATGGTCAATTGAGGTGCCTGCTTACACGATATAAGGATGTCTTCTCTACCCATAACCAGGATTTTGGGTATACCGATACCATCACACACCGAATTGACACTGGTACAGACAAACCGATTAGAAAGCGACACAGACCCCTACCACCGTCCCAATACCAAGCTGTTAGAGACCACATTCGAGACCTACTGGAGAAAGATATTGTAAGGGAAAGTAAGAGTCCTTGGTCGTCCCCAGTTGTAGTCGTTCAAAAGAAGGATTCTAGCATTAGATTATCGTCGACTAAATAAAATTACACATAAGGATTCATTCCCCCTCCCTCGCATTGAGGAATCCCTCCAGGCACTAGATGGGGCCCAGTATTTTATGGTATTGGACTTGACGAGTAGCTATTACCAAGTTGCGATGCATCCGGATGACGTAGAAAAGACAGCGTTTGCAGTACCGTTTGGCCTGTTTGAATACACTCGTCTCCCATTCGGTCTCTCAAATGCCCCAGCGACCTTTCAAAGACTAATGCAAAGATGTCTGGGAGATCAGTGCTTCGAGAATGTCCTTATTTACCTTGACGACATCATTGTGTACTCTAAGGATTTCGATACGCACCTAGCTAATCTTGAACGGGTCTTTAGCAAGCTAACGATGCATGGCCTAAAGCTCAAGCCTGGCAAGTGCCATCTCTTGCAGCAAGAAGTGCGGTACCTTGGGCAAATGGTGTCAAACAGAGGTGTTGCCGTTGATCCAGAAAAAGTACGAGTTGTCCAAGACTGGCCAGAGCCTAAGACGGTGAGAGATGTTAGGGCCTTCCTAGGGTTTACCGGATTTTTTCGGAGGTTCATTAAAGGATATGCATCGATCACAGCGCCACTCTTCCGTCATTTGAAACATAGCCCAGATAATAAGAGAAAGAAAAAACGACCGAAAGATGGCCCGATTACCTTCTGCACTGAATCTCGGACAGCGTTCAAGACTCTTATAGAGTGTCTGACGACAGCACCGATTTTAGCATACGCTGATTTCACCCGACCGTTCCGTATTGAGACTGATGCCTTCAAACTTGAACTGCTGGCCTTTAAATTGGCAGTGACTGAGGTTTTCAAAGATTATTTGTTTGGACACAAATGTACTATTGTGACTGACTACCATTCTACTCTTTTTGGACAAGGCAAACTTAGGCTGTACTGAAATGAGATGGGTTCAACAACTTAGCTCATTCGACTATCAGATCACATACCGACCAGGTGCAAGGAACCAGGCACCTGATGCTCTTTCGCGGACAAATCAACTTTCAGAAGAGAATAGACCC